CCTTTGGTTGATCTTCTCTCACTTGAACCATTTGTTGGGCTGTTTAAGAACCTTAAGAAAGATAAATTGCCCAAGATTAAAGCTGCAGATTCAGCATTGGCCACTCTTAAAGGAATGAAAGCTTTGACAGAAATTTGTGCGGAAGACTCTGCTTCTCTAAACAAAATAACTGATTTTGGAGTGCTCTGCTTGATTAGGCGCCTGTTATTGGAAGATGATTATGAACAGTTAGCAGCAATCGAAGCATATGATGCATCACGTGCCTCAGAGTCACCAGAGAATGCACGATCTGTTTCAGGTGAAACTTCTTCTAATGCCAATCCTAGTGATGCATCCAGTCTCCGAGTACCACCTACGGCTCACATTCGGAGGCATGCAGCCAGGCTACTTACTGTACTATCAGTTCTTCCAAAAGTAAAGAAAGCAATAGTTGCAGATAAAGCTTGGCATAGATGGCTTGAAGAATGTGCTGAAGCAAAGATTCCAGGTTGCAATGACCTCAAAATTCAAAGTTATGCCAGGGCAACACTACTGAATGTGTCCTGTGGTAGCCAAACTAGTGAAGAATCTGTAGATGATGATACATCTCAAGGAAGCACAAATAAAAATACTTGCCCTCGCTATGCTGATATGATATTTTTAATTAATCCTGACAGACCACACTGGAAAAGTGTGGAGAATGCAATACCAACATCAATAGATAGACCATTCGCATCTAGTGATGATTCTGTCGGAAGTGAGCAGGGCATTTCGACAACAGGTTCCAACGAGTGTGACTCTTCAACCTCTACATCTGAACCTGGAAGTTCCTCACAATCAGAGATGCCTTTACTGGATGTTGTGTTTGTTCATGGGCTCCGTGGAGGTCCCTTCAAAACATGGCGGTTGTCTGAGGACAAGTATTCCACTAAATCTGGCCTTGTAGAGAAAATTGATGAAGAGGCAGGGAAGCAAGGAACCTTTTGGCCTGGGGAATGGCTTCCAGCTGATTTTCCTGGTGCCCGTTTGTATAGTCTCAAATATAAGGTTTCATATTTCCATGTCATTCTTAATTACTATCCACTATTATTTGGGAGTGCAGATGGTTTTTCCTTATCCATCTGTGTTTTTTGTGATTGGACATTTAATGTTTTCTCATAATTGTGAACTTATCTCGTGCAATCTGCCATCTGATAAATGTTCTTTTGCAGACAAATCTTACACAATGGTCAGGAGCAAGCCTCCCCCTTCAGGTTTGTTTCTCCACAGCAAAACATGTTCATATTATTCACCACATGCATAGTCTTCAGTTTCTGCTGATTTATTGTCTGCCTGGCTATGTACTTTTTTGACTACTGCTTTCAAAATGCAAGAGAACTTTTAGACCATCTAGAGTGCTGACTAATGATATTTTTATGGGTTCTATAAGAGTAGAAATTCTGGAGTTCTGTTTATCTGGTGTTTCATGACAGGGGAAATTTTTTTCTTTCACGGCTTGTGGTAATGTGCTTCCTATACATGTTTTGCATGCTGCATCACATATTTGTGCAATTCAGCATTCATAGATCTTGCATCATTCATTAATCAATTCTACAGGAGGTAAGCTCCATGCTGTTGGAGAAGCTCGTTTCAGCTGGCATTGGGAATCGTCCAGTTGTATTTGTTACTCATAGGTTGGTCTGATCTTGTCTTGGTTAGTTTATTTCACTTCATTTTCTCTTCATGGTGGGCGTGGTTATAGAGTCTCCTTTTTTATATAAAAAAAAAAAAAATAGATGATAGATTTCTTCTTTTTTGCCCCATTTTTCAAATGGTCCAATTTAAGTAACAGTTTGGAGGTTTTTTTTTTTTTTTTTTGGTTGCATCCTTATGAATGCACAAATTAAAACATAGAGTACTTTGTTTTGCCTCAATCTTGTTTAGTTCAAAGCACTGTCTAAAACTTCCTAGTTAAGAAGTCCACTCAGTGAAACCTTAATATCCTAGGCTAGGTGGATTCCAAATTTACAAGAGTGCTGCTATTAAAGTACTTCTTGGAGCTAGTTTGAATAGGATAAAAAAAATTCTCACCAAGATACCGAGTATGAGATAAGATCTCAACAGGTTATGATCTGTCAAAATTACTAGGAGCTCCTTTTATTACCTGTATTATGGCCCCTTTAGTTAAAGCTTATAATTATGGATTGTGAGTGAGATAACCTACTATTAGGTCTAGTTTTAATTGAAGAGTTCCACCTTTGCCATTTATAAATGTAATTTTATTTCATTTATCTTTAGTTTCAATTATGAAGATGGGGTACTGTTGGAAATTAACCGTGATTGTATGGATTATTGGCTTAGATTAGCAAGAGTTGTGAAATCTATTATCTTTGCCAAACTTTTAGAAAATGGATTAATAATCTTTAATATCACATAATGTAGTATAAAATATAAATAAATGATTTTATTCTTTTGTTTATCCCCCTTATATATATACATAGAGCAGTGCTTTGGCATAAAGAAGCTTCTTCTAACTTCTCTTTTTGTGTGTGTGTGTGGGGGGATTGGCAGCATGGGAGGCCTTGTTGTCAAGCAGATGTTGTATCAAGCAAAAGCAGAGAATAAGGAGCAGCTTGTCAATAACACAGTTGGTGTTGTATGTATTCTCTTTTCAAATAGATGATGAATCCTATGGCATTGATGTTAATATTCTGTACTTAATTTCTAGAATTTCCACTACTTACCTATTGATTCTTGAGTTTCAGGTATTCTATAGTTGTCCCCATTTTGGCAGCAAACTTGCAGACGTGCCCTGGCGTATGGGTCTTGTCTTTCGCCCTGCACCTAGTGTTAGTAACTTTATGCTTATAGCCCTCTTGCCCTTCCTTGTTACTGTTTATCTGTGTTCATAGCTCTTTTCTTTCATCCCTTGTTATTTCTCTCAAGAACTTTTAGAGTCTTTTTGAAACATGAATATTAGGATTAATATTTTGTTGGTTCATTGTTTTATTCTGTTAAATTTCCAGATAGGAGAGTTGAGAAGTGGGTCTCCAAGACTGGTGGATCTTAATGATTTCATCCGCCACCGTCATAAGAAAGGGATGCTTGAGGTGCTTAGTTTTTGTGAGGTATAATTTCATCGCCAATTTAAGATGTTTATAGGTTTCATTCATGACCTTCCAAGGGGGTTCAATTCACTTGGTTGACTATAGTGCGTGCTGAAATGAGCTAAATGATGTGTGCAGACGAAGGTTACCCCAATCGTCGAAGGTTATGGAGGTTGGGCATTTCGAATGGAAATTGTACCAATGGAGTCGGCATATCCTGGATTTGGTGAATTAGTTGTGAGTTAAACTGGATCACCTTGATTTTTTGCATCGGTTTCAACTAAATTCTTCAATTGGTTGAATTATGGTGTTTTGTGCACTCCACTTGTTTCTATTTCTATAACTCCCCACCATGGTCTGTGTAATATGCCTATACCCTCATTAGCTGCAAAAGCTGAATTGCATTAAAAAGTTACTGTCATGATTCAAGAGTATGGTAAACATGCATCCTAGTTTGAATCATGCATTCATTCAATAACGTGAAATAGGTCTCATCATTCCTGTTACATCTTGATGCAGGTATTAGAGTCAACTGATCATATAAATTCTTGCAAGCCTCTGAACCGCACTGATCCTTCTTACAAAGAGACTTTAGAATTCATGCACAAACTGAAAGCACGTTACAATAGATGAATACAGGTGTACATAATTTTAGTGTTGAAGAGTTGTCAGCATTTTCATCATGGTCATGGTGGCAGCAGCAACAGCCTTGCGAGATTGAAGTTGGTCTTCAATCGCAGTTCCAGGCTTTTGGCCATTCTTCATTTCTTCCAACTACAATTGGTAATTTGGTATACATACCCCATCACTCATACTAGCCTAGCTTATACTGGCTGTTAGAATTGCTCAAGAGCAGATTGGCATATTGTCTTCTGCTCCTGTGCATTTACATAGATTGACTTTTACTGATTCCCTTGTACAGTGCAAAATTTTAAGTTGACATCAGGTTTCAACATTTTTAACTTGGAACTTTCCACATTTGATTTATGTTGTAGCTTAGACAGGAATAAGGTTTATTTATTATTATTTTTTTTTTCCCACAGGATGACTAGAATACTGAGTTTACCTTGTAAATGATGTACAAGCCACAGTTGTAAATGAAATTGCTAACATTGTAAGGAAAATATACCATTAGCTCATTGTTCTTTATCCTTGTTTTAATTGGAAAGGAACTTCGTTTTTAATCTCAATATAATGAGTTACTAATAATTTCATGGTCTCAAACCAGTTTGGTTGGCGTGAGTGGCCGTGCACTTTTGCTCCTGAGGTCGGGAGTTTGAATCCCCTCTCGTGAGTATAATACGGGTTTAAAGGTGCATTCTATAGTTAGGACTTGTTCAGGACCAATCATTATTGTGTGGACCATGTGTGGACTATGGTCCACACAAGTTGTATGGATCATATTTTGTCTACTGTAAAATAATGTACATTCAGTATAAAAATAATGTACATTATATTCAGGGGATGTATATTATTTTTGTTCTGAGTGTACATTATATTATATAATGTACATTCAGTACAAAAATAATGTACATTTAATATATTAAAAATGTACTTTTTGTTATGGTCCACATAACATTGTGTGGTCTATGGTCCATACAATAACTTACTGTTCAGGACTTCAGGACTCCTCGTGTTCTGATTAAAAATAAATAAAATTTCATGGTCTCAATAATAGTTTTCCAGTAATATTACCCATACGCCGGAAATTTCCAAGCAAACAAACCCAATTCCATTCATCACTAAATAACAAGTCATACCATAACCCATGAGGAACATGCAAAAGAGCATTGCAGTAAGGTTTTTTTTTTTTTTCTTCTCTTCTTAAAGAACAATGATACCAAGGGTTTTTTGAATCTAGTACAAAGATGTTGTCTGGCAACTGCATTTGGAGACTGAAAACTACGTCATTGTCCTCTACTACTAGTAGTAATATCCTAGAAAGCATTTATGTGCAAAAACATTGATACAAAGTGAAAGAGTACACCGTAGAGGACCCTACAACTCGATTAGAATCAAATCCAGAAAGCACTGAAGGAGCATTGCTGCTTCAATTGCCATCTAAAGAATCAGCTACGACATTTGTACAAAACCAAAATCCTATATCACCCAGTTACTAAGCCAGTCATTGATTAGTTGTTCCATTCATCGTCGTCTCTGAATCCGACTTTCCTGTCTGGTCTCCATTAACCGTCTCTGAATCCAATTTTCCTGTCTGCTCTCCATTAACCGTCTCTGAATCCAATTTTCCTGTCTGCTCTCCATTAACCGTCACTGAATTTGATTTTCTTGTCTGCTCTCCATTAACTGTCTCTGAATCTGATCTTCCTGTCTGCTCTTCATTAACCGTCGCTGAATCTGATTTTCCTGTCTGCTCTCCATTAACCGTCGCTGAATCTGATTTTCCTGTCTGTTCAATGACGAAGTGATCAACAACCCTTACTGTATTTATAGGATCCTGCTTTAAAGAAGCTGCTCTCCATTTGCTAGGAAACTTCCGCGTGAAGCTTGACTGCTGTGGCTGTTTTAGCTCTGAATCCCAGTAAGGGTCGAGCTTCCAATCTTTCGGGACCTGAATACTCAAAAAGATTTGCCAATCCAAGCCTCTTTCAGAAGGACATTATCCTATATATATATATATATATATATATATATATATATATATATATATATAGAGAGAGAGAGAGAGAGAGAGAGAGAGAGAGCATCAATCAATGTTTTACCTTATCAACAGCGAGTGTGAAAACTTCAAGATCACCTTTGCTGTTAAGATGAAACCTTGTGAATGACTTGTAGTTAGCAATGCGCAGAGATGAAAACGCTTCGTCAAAGTGTAAGTGAAGCCAATTAATGCAGATGTACAGGTAGCTTCCGAAAATCAAAGAAACCACGGGAGTTGAGAAAACCCAGAAATAAAGGAAAACAGATGCATAATATATTGTAGCACCCCCTCGGGAGAACGATTCCATCCCGTCCTTGCAGATGCTATTCCTTGAAACCGCCATTACCTGAAAATTTTACGATTAAGCAAAAGTGAGGAAAGCTTTACTATATTATTCAGTGAAAAGAAAATGAAGAAAAGAGACAAGTTTCTTACCTCGGGTACATCAAAAGCAGACATGAGATACTTGATGCATGCTGGATAAAGGCCAAACGTCCATCTTTCTATACGTTCTCTAAGGCCAGTAGGGTCTGGAAAATGCTCACTCTCCACTGATCGATACCATTCATATAGAGTATGATAGCCTTCATAAAAAAAAAGATTCACAAATTAAATTAACGCTAGCTGAGCTGCCAATAAAAGATGAAGAAAGTCGCCTGCCAAAGAATTCTCACCGGCTGTACCCAGTAGATCATGCCTGATGCACGTGTCAACGCCCAGTTCCAACAAGAGCATGAGAATCAATGCTGCAGCCAAGTGAGCAGACACGTGAACAATCCCGATTATCATTCTCTTTTTACGAGACACCCTCGATGGCACAAAACATACCGCAGCTACTAACAGTAACATGGCACCAGCCGAGGATACATACGAGCGACCAAACAGATCTATAAAGGAATCCCACACCGTAGTAAAGAAGCTACTCAAGTGACCAGAAAAGGTATCGTCCTTTAACAGGTGGTCCAAATGGCACTATAATGCACAGCAAATAGTTAAAGATGATATGATCAAAGAACAACATGATGCTAATCAGGGTTCAAACTCGAAGCTCTTAGGCGTAAAGTTACCTGAGGGAACATAGAGAATGCTAAGACAAAATATATGAAGCCACCAATAATATCAAATTGCCAATTCTTCTTTCGGAACTTCAATATGTTCCCTAATGCGATCTGCATTTATGTATAAAGCATGTTACAATATGAGACAAACAAAGAATATGTCAGACTAAATCATTAGTAGAAGATTCAGATTTCCTACTCTGCTTGAATCCTCGAACGATGGGTAAGAAGCTTTACTCTCATAGGTCGTCCCATATAGTTCACCGAAATTACGGAAGACGTGTGTAGGGTGTAGAAACGCTCCACCACAACCGTTAACAAGTAAATGTTGCACATAAGCTGGCCTATCCGATGGAACATATGAATGGCGCATATAATGATGCAAGTCTCCAGCAATTCGAAGTTTACACCTCCCTTTTAAATGGTCACGTATTAAGTAAGAAACGTTCTTCCCAGTCTCATCGCTCCAATACCAATCGAGAAGCCAATTAGGTTCGTGAGTCATAATGATCACAGAATCGTTCTCTAACATCTGACAAGAAGATAGAATCATGATTGCGTTTTTTATGGAGGGTTAGAGAAAAATGATAAATTGTATCCTTAACTAGTGACCAATGGACTTTCCGGTTCTAAAATTCAAACAACCAACAAAAATAAAGGAATGCCAACGTTCTGAGCTAACATATGAAATAGGAACGTCAACATGACAAGACAAAATAGAATGGAAAGGATACCTTATCCCTTATTAATTCTGAGAAGAACTTGAATTGGTATATATCAATATCACAATGGAGAGCGAGGTCAAGACCAAATACCCACCACCGTTTTGGCAGCTGCAGGGCAAAATAGCTTCTCTTTTGAGGCATGAACCAGCCACCCAACCAATTTTTGTGACAAATGTACCTCATGAATGTCTGAAGCCCGTCAAACCAATCTGCACGGACAAAGAAAATTGACTAGGAAATAACAATACATTCCAGATGAAAAATCCAATTTACTATCGATCAAAATGTGTATTCTACTAAAAACATAGACTAACCATGATTTCCAGGTATAAGAAAACACTGAGGTCCTTCATAGTGCTTCAAATCAGCAACCCCAGAAGGTAACTCTGGCTTGTTTACAGCAATGTGCTCTTCCTTATACCATGTTGGTGGCTGAAGAGCATACTCAAAGGGGCAAAATAAGCGTCTCTCGTATGTAAACGATGATGGGTTAGGATACCTTTGGAAAAAAATAGAAACAAAGAGACAATTAATTGAGCATTGTAAACAACAAATCGAACAGGTTAGAATAGCATAAAACAATTGAACAGCTTTAAGGAATGTAAAGCATGTCAACGGGAGACTCCATGAGGATATAGCAAATATGTACTGAACCTCGTGTATAAAATGAATAAGCAACTGAAAGTCATTCATCACTTGACAGGTGAAATACCATTATAGAAACACTGTAGAGAAATTTGAGCTTACGCAAGATCGCCGCCTATGAGAAGCAGATTCCCACGAGGCAAAGTAAGCATAGAGCCATTATTTTGGGCACGGATCACAGGTTGAGCAAGAAGCCGTGCCACTGTGTATGATGAATTGCCACCATCACCAGTATCAGCCATAAAATCAAACCAAAAGTCATCTTTTTCACTAAACTGATCATACAAAAGATCCTCTTGTTTAGCTCCATCTTGGTCTTTGGTCATAGCCGCCTATCAATCCAGACAAAGGTGCAAGCATGACAGTATTATGAGAACTACGACAATCAGAAAACCTTTTTTGCAAGATTCCCATATATCATACAATACATATGACACCGCTATAAAAGGGTTGCAAGAGCACAAACAATACCTGCAACATACGCATATCAAAACGCCCCACAAATAAAGTAACCGAAACCAATAGGTCAAACACTGTTTTGAATAAATCAGCAGATGTCCTGTAGCATGCATTCATAATGATCATCATACTCGAGTGATTGAAGAATCTTCTATTCCCTATAACATATGCTTGGATGGTTGAAAAAGTTTTTGCTCCCCATAATCTATGGAGGGAAGTTATACAATAGCATACCCTGAATACCAAGGAACCATTTCCAAAAACTCTGGCTTCATCTGCTTTTCCTTCAACTTCTCAAATTCCTTGGGTGATAAAGGGTGGGAGAGAGCCCATCTGGGAATTTGAAAAGCACCAGATTATACAGTGTTTATGACTTTATGTACACCGCCCCCAAGAAATAGTGGCACTCAAGCATAACAGCAACTATGATAGAAATAGGAGATTCAGAATGTATGTACACAAGTAGCAAAAAGAGCCCAGTGAAATAGTTCATATTCAAGAAAATTAGTAATTACAATTCTTCCAAGCTGGCAATATCAAAAGGGTAAAGGTTCAGGGTTAAAAACAAAAAGTGCCCCATTGTCCCCTTGAAATATAACACCTCCATGCTTTAGAGGACAATGTGATTATCCCTTAACAGCCAACACTCATAAACAACAGAATCCATCCATCCTTAATTTCAGATTCCCCAATTATGTATTTATATATTTATATTTATTAATTGCAGACAGTATCAACATCACATAATCAGAATTTTTATTTTTTAAAAATCAAAATGCCCAAGGATTCCATGAGAGAGAGAAATATGAACTAAGTAAAATAATGTTTGTGCAAAAAAAGGCACCAAATACTCACTCACCCTGATGAGTGTTCCACAACATAATTAGCAATGTAGATGCCAATAAAAGTGGCCCATAATGAATAAATTGGTGAGATTTCATCTGATGATTCTGCACATGAGCCTCCACAACTCAACTAAAAAAACAAAATATGGTAATAGCATAAGATCCTCAATTACATTGATAGAAGATATGAGAATTTTTAAGCTATAAGGGAATATACCTCTCCATAGATGACCCACTTAGATAAAAATGGGTAATCACTAGCGGAGCCCACTGGAGCAAACCAAAACTTACAAACTTGTTCTTTGAACTCACTCATGCGGACAAATTTGGCAAGCCATGTGTTTCTCTCTTTCCAAAGAGAAAACCAACTAGAATCTTTCCACTCAAATGGCTTTTGCTTTATTATAGCAAGGTTACCACAGTGGATATAAAATACACAGCAGGCTATACTCAAAACCTATAACAACAATAAGACCATAAAATAAGAACCACAATTGTTTCGCAATTATTTAAGAGATGTTTGACTCACTTACTGTGCAATTTTGAAGAATTGCCAAAATTTCAGGCTTCCTTTTAGCAATACGAGCCACAAGCCCAAGATAACCAAGCCCAAGAAATATAACATGGAAAACAAGCAGGAAGGAGATGGATGAGACATATATAGTCAAAAACAAAGATAGGTTCATCCTTAAATCTACTCCCATTGACTGAAAACTGGGAAGATGATAAAGAGCTGCAACAAATATCCAAACTATATACCTATAAAATGAAAATTATGCAATTAGCAATTTCCATGAGTTCCATTAGATGGAAAAACTGAGTTTGTGCCATAAAAGAAACTAAAAACTTACCAGCGGCTGAAATTTGAATAACTAGGCTTAATTGTTTTCCCTATAAATGGAGATGAAAAGAAGTAAAAGAATCCTAGTAAACAAGCATAGATTGACCACCATTTAATATTGCTATCCAACTTCTGAATAAGAGTGTGCATATTATCAGATGATATGAAAAACAGGCATCCCACGACCACAGTAATGACAAAGTGCCGTGAATGCTCATGTGGATAGGGGTATGGATGCGTTAGGATTGTCCTAACTGTATCCATATTAAGGGTATCAAGCAAACCAGTGGATTGCTTATCAGATACCATCAAGCAATCGTGAATCGATGATCCAAAAGCTCCCTAATGACTTTCGCTCAAAACCAGCAACTGCACCAACAAACCAATATTTAAAACAATGTAATTGGAAACTTCAAATGTCATAACAATGTTCATACAAGTGGTACATTATATCAGCTTGTCAATAAAGAAAAAAGCAGAAAACAGTATGGGGCAAGTATCTTAGAACACCAAAGAACAAACAACTTAAAAAACTGAACTATCTTTCAATGATATTAATTGTTTCATCAATCTAGTCCAGTTACAAAGACATTGCCACACATTTTCAGAACTACAACCTACAAATTCTCATGTTTTGAAGGGTCCAGAGATTTAGTTCTAGTGAGCTCAACCAAAATAGCATAACCAATTCCAGAAAATACGAAAAAAAAAAACATTTTTTTTAAAAGGAAAATATAAAACAAAACTGGAGTTACTATAGCCAAAATAGGGTTTGGCTTAAGAAATGTGAGCGGAGAGATTACCCTCCGAGCTAAATCAAAGCTGGGAAGAAGATAGCTTTCACATCAAGCATTCATATAAATGAGGCAGATAGAACAATCAGGCAACAACATCAACAAATCCAAAAGTGTATATTTGTAGAACATAAAAGGAAGACAAGAAAGAAGCAGCCATACATCCATCCTCGTACGAAAAAATACAAGAAAAAAAGTACCCGGGAATGCAGCAGAGAGAGAAGATGGCGTGAGGGAGAAAGAAAGTGCAAGCAAGCATGTGGGGCTGGGCTTCAAGAATTGAAATGTAGGATTTAATGATAATTAGGAACACAGTCAACGGATTCCCAGAGCATGTCTGCACGGAAGCATTTGTGTTGGCGGAATCAGCAGCATATTCTGAAACCTTTTTGAGATTGAATTTAATTTAATTAAATTAAATTTATTTATTAATGGTAGCGTCCGATCGACAAAGACTCTGATACGAATTGAATTGAGTGTTTGGACGATGATAGCGAAACGTCGAACTGCTTTCCTGGCTGGGTTTCGTAGTTTTTTGTGTTTATTTTGTCGAGGTTTCTTTCTCTTTTATGAAACTGCGGTTTTCAAACCGTTGGGTTAAGGGGGGTGGTGGTTTGACGGGGAAGTGGTGAGCAGGGCAGAAAACACGTGGCATTTTTTCTTTTCTTTTTCTTATAACCCAAGTAAGTTTTCCCCATTTTGTTATATTATTATTTTTTTTAAACCATATTTTTGTTTCTGCATATTTTTCTTTTGTTATTTTTCTGGTTTCAATTCGTATAATTTGTTTAGAACTTTATTAAAAATCGGTTGAAAAATATGATTACTAAAAATCAGAAGATACATAAAGTCTTAAACCAATTAAACCGGTTAAAACTATAATAATAACAAAAGAAAAATATGAAAAGATAAAAATACCCTTACTGAATATAGAAAAAGTCATAAAAGTGACTAAAAATGTCCAAAAAAACAATAGTCTTGGATGCTAGCAAAAACGATAGTCTATGACTAAATTTAGAATTGCCACAAAAAATAAAGGATCTAGAGTGGAATTAAATATTATAAAATTTATGAAGAAATGTAGTGTTGTCTTTGAAGTCTTACTCAATACAAATAGTATTAGTTTTGTGATATGAATTGTTGCAATATTCATATAATGCTATTGAATACTCCACATTATATATATATTGAAAGCCGATGATATTCAGCATAAATGATTATATTGTACTGTATATGATCAAAATTTATTTATTTTTATAATTCATATTTCCCCCGTTCATATACTTTATCAACCTACTAAAACACAAAGAACCAATAACGCCTCCATTGAGGCTCAAACTCGTAACTTTCCAAATGGAAATCCAACCCGGGTACCATTAGACCACATAATCTTAGTAAAAAAAACTTGTGGTCTATATTAGAAGAAAATAACACTATTAACATTTTGCCAAGTACATTGTGGTTTGATAGTATTGTCGTAATCCTTTCAAACCTAAAGTCATAGATTTGAGTCCCTTGATCTTACGTTGAGCAGACATTATGGATATGGTAGATGGTAGATTGTAATTTACTGTATACATAGTAAACCCTATTCAATCTATATTCACCCTTATTTTGGAAAAAATTATGTTTTTTAATGATTATTTTAACTTTCTCTTGCAACCCATCTTTTATTTTTCTTATAAATAAAACGAGTATTTTAATTGCTCCGTGTTTTTTTTTTTTTTTTTTTTATGTTGTTCAAATGGATTGAAGTCTTCTAAGCTGGATTATTGTAAGTTCATTGGTCTGCAAATTGTTAGAATACTTTCAAAAATCTATTAGATGGTGGGTTGGTCCATTTTTGTTCTCACAACCCACAACTTTCCCCTTTTGAAGTACTCTATCTACCAGTTTAAGGCCCATTATATGATCTGGGTTTGGGAGCGTTATGGTATGCACCATGCAAGCTGCATACTGAATTAAATTCATAATTTTTATACTATAAATTTATAATTTTGATATTGTATATTTATAATTTATAAACTATAGACTCATAATTGTTATATTATAAATTTATAATTTTTAAACTATATATTTATAATTGCTATACTATATATTTATAATTTCTACACAGTTGCACAGCATAGTTTGCCCTGGGTTTGTCTAATAGTAGGGCCATCCAATGGAAGGTCATTCGCCAAAGGACCACGCTACACGCCTCTATCTTTATCATTTATTTACAAACAATTACCCATTTTGACGTGGTATTACTTGATTTCTTTTTTTATTAATTTGATTATTAAGTATGATAAAATTATTAGCTATGAAATCTATACAACTGTAAAAGCAACGGCAAAAATTGCTCAGATACCGGTGGGTGAAGCATATTTAGATCGTGTTATAAATGTCCTGGCTAACCCTATTGATGGTAGGGTGAAATTTCAGCTTTTGGATTTCGATTAATTGAATTCTCTGGTTCGAGGATTATGTCGCGTCGTTCCGTGTATGAGCCTATAGGACGTGGTCAGTGCGGATTAATTATTGACGACAGACAAACCGGTAAAACATCAGTAGCCACGAATACAATTCTCAATCAACAAGGTCAAAATGTAATACGGAGTATGCATGTGTTTATGTAGCTATATATTGGGCAAAAAGCATCTTATGTGGCTCATGTAGTTACTAATGTGGTTGCATGTATGTAGTTAGTGGCTAAGATTAGTCGTAACACGTGTTAGATATTGATGTGATATGTGAAGCAACAACAACATAATTAATATATCCCGATCTCTTATAAAGCATGGTCTTAGTGATTGTTTCTCAACTTCAGAAGTTAGAAAGTGTCAAATGCAAATCTAATTAAAGAATTTAATTGTTTTTCTAATAATCTATCAAAGTAAATTCTTTTTAATTCATAATTATGAGTCAATTTATAAGTATCTAACAACACAACTACATTTAGGTATGAAAAATACTAATTTTGTATGTGGAGCCTTACGAGCATACGAAGAGGTGAATGAAGAAATTAAAGAGTTTGGGGATGGAGAATATTCCTCCACTTACGTTGCCCAGTTGTACTTAGTTGAAGAGGAAATTCCCGACACACAATTTCAAATTCCCATTACCATCCAAAGTGCCTCAGCTCCTTTTTCTATATTTGGTGTAATCAAATCAGTCACTGCAGCAGGTGGTTGGATCAATTGCCACACTGTATAAATTACTTGCAAGTGGCATGTATAAACATTTACTTTATAATGATGAAAATTGATGCCATAGAGATAATTAAGGGTCAAAATTTTGGCATCATATCCTAACCACGAGCCAAATGTTGGTGCTATTACTCCAAAAAGGGTAGACGAGTGGATCGAACATTATTTTTGTATTAGAAAGTAATGAGTTTGATTTTTGTCAACATTAATTTATTTGAACTTATTGCATATGTTTTTTAGTATGATTTATAGTCTATTTACCTTAGATAGTGGTTGCATATTTTCTAATAATGTTTTAAGATTTTAAGTTAATACCTAAGTTAATCTTCGATTATAGTGGTTTTTCTCGATTTAGTCATAAATGACGACTTTGCGTATTTAATTGGTTTTACTTTTTTTTTTTTTTTTTTTGAAAATAATTGGTTTTACTTAATTGAGTCATTTTGATAATTTTTTCTATATTAATATCATACTTAGCCTTTGACTATAGTGGTTTTACCTAATTTAGGCCCCGTTTAGTAACATATAGCTGATAAGTCAATTTTGTCTGGTTTGATTGGAAAATAAGCTACTTGTGTTTGGTAAAATGAATTATTACATTAACTTATTGGGACAATAAACAAAAATAAAAATATGAAAAGCTAAGAATAGTATAATATTTTTGTTAGTTGATTGGCTTTAATTATAAAATGACCATTTTATCATTGTATATATCTCTAACATTTATCTCTATTGTGGTTGTTCATCTGCTTGACCCTTTTGTTTTTGTTTTTGTTTTTTTCTTCGTAACAACAATAATAATGTTTTTTTTTTTTTTTTATTTCACTCATAATAATAATAATAATAATAATAATAATAATAATAATAATAATAATAATAATAATAATAATAATAATAATAATAATAATAAAATATGGTTCTAATGGGATTGTTACTTTGTTAGCCTATACACACACACACGAAATAAATTAATTAGGTATATAGTATATAGAATGTGGTACCTTCACTCCCCAAAAGTCCACTTGTAACTACCATAAAACCTCTAGATACATATATAGGCCCTGTAGAAGATCATGGAGCAACAGATGTAGGTCTCCTACCCAGTAAATTAAAGTAGTGAGCTTTCTTTGTCAACATTTTCAACCCAAATCGTGATTACACATTGACCAACTTGCATGAAGGCCATATATATATGCACTAACAGCTAAGCAGCGCAGGTTGGGGAGTACAAGTAGAAGTGTATATATAGAAGTCCACTGAAGTTGGATCCAACAGTGATGATAAGTAGTGGAATATTGAGTGTGGGATCAAACTTCCCCGACATTAGGAGCCAACCAGACAGACAACCTTTTCTGATCTTTAAGAATCTTTCCCTCCAGTTGAATATTGTCAGTACATGGGAATCTTTGAAAAAATCTTCATTCGGCCGAAAGCTACAGATACTGCACTTTGTCTACTCATTCATTCAATCTAGAAAGGGTCTATTTGATCGGGAAAAGTACAAATTAAAGAACCCCTAGCATGGATACTCACAAGGGGACTTCATGTCCTCCGATTTGATTACTTAACGTTACACAATGGCCCTAAGTTCTTAGTGGAGAGCAAGACTTTAAGATGATCGGTCAAACTAACTGAGCTAATCTATATGAACAAAAAACCACAAACCCTAATCTATAGGGGTAAAAAACCCAATACCAGCCAGAATTCCACCAACACATGACGACACGTGATTATCTGTTCAGGTTAGTCCTGATATGTGTTGGCAATTGATGTGATGTCTTGAGCTAAGCTATAACAACATACTAACAAAATTGACTTATTTTATTAATAGCTTCGGGTATTAATAATAGGTTTCAATTCCCAATCACAAAGATCTCGAAGAACATGAAAGTACGGGTCGCAGTAATATATATTATACCTAACTTGTATATAACATTATACGAACTACAATAATGTAGACATTGAAATGACACAGTATATGAACACATGGGAATCATGGGTAGGAGATAATGAAGCTAGCTAGGGGGAGACTGTATTTGTGATGGAAATTAAAATAGTTTTGCAGACATAGAAAGGAGGGAATGCGTTTAATCTTGGAAGGGAGATACGATGTATAATATTATTGTTGTGTTGTGGAGTTGTACCTGACACGTCTCTCTCACTAGTGCTCCACACAATACTTGCACGCAGCTAATAGGAGTAATAGTTATTACTCACCGTCCTTTACTTGTACAATTGTGTTACTCCTCTACTCCCATTCAACACTTCCTTGCCCTGCCGCACTTTTTCTCTAGCTCCCGCTAATTTCTACGTTTTAATAATATATTAACTGACTATCTATTAGCTTTAGGACAAAATATCTTCCTAATAAACCATATAGTATTATAAGAAGAACACCTTATGCGATGAACTCGATCGAAAATATATTGACAATAATTAAACTTGTGACATTCTAGTACGATAATCATGTTGCATCTACTTGATCACTCTGATATTTTTAAGACGATAATTTATTTATTTATTTATTTAAATTTTTATGATTAGGTAATCTTTCATTAGCCAAAAAAAAGAAAGAAAGAATTTAAAAATAGGGATGGTGATTTTATTCAAATTTGATAAGAATTGTATTTTCAGTCCGGTCACTTCACGAGTATGTATTTGTGTGACGAGGAAAAACTTATAATCACTTTTTGAGGATGTATATTAGCTAAATTCTACATTGTGATCCTAGGTTCCTAGCTGACAAATGATCATATGTAGGTAAACCGGTTTAGCTAGAATAAATGGCAAGATCCATTAATATGGATGGAGGAAATAATGATATAGAGGAGAACAAGGCAATGATTTTCTACAATGACACTGTTGTAGACCAATTGAAAGGGATGTAACGTAGCTTGGTAGCGCCTTTGTTTTGGGTAAAAAAATTCATAGTACAGCTTCAAATCTTGTCATCCCTATCTATTCTTCTCTTCTAGACAGTAACGAGGGATAGGTTGAGATCGACTCGGACATACATATATATATATATATATATATATATATATATATATATATATATATATATATATATATATTTATGAGCTATGACTTTCAACGACATTATAAGCCTGGTGTGAAGTGTATTGGCCCAATAGAAAAGAATGAGGGGAAGAATCGACGAGAAATCAATAAGATCGGCAATAGAAAGAAGGGGGAAAGGACAAAGGAAAGACCAATGTATATATACATTTAATCATTGGGGTTTGATCTACTCAAGTTAAGAAAGTAAATAGGTCACTCACACAGGGAGTCAAACATGAAATCTTGTGTTTACCAAGCTAATTAAAAATCCAACTAACTTTCCTTGATTTGCCCCTAAAGAGGTAAAATTGTACTAGGAATCATGGTTGAAAAAATCGCTAGGCGCTATTCGGGCGCTCGGGGAGTGCCTAGTGCCTAGACGGCGAATAATCGGCACCAAGGCGCCCGTGTATTTTTTATTTTTTAAAAATTTGTTTTAATTTTTTTAATTTTTTAAGACATGATAATTATAAACTATTTAATACTTTAATAGTTAATACTAAAAATATTAAATATTAACCAAGAAAAACATGTATAGTTTGAACAATTTAGGATTATGTTTCTCAACTTTGTTTTGAGTGGAATAACCTATTTTTAAAAAGGCGACAATAGCTAATAGGTCGACTAGGCGACCTAGTCGGTGCGTAGAAATCATAGTCAGTCCTAGGCGGCGCTTAGAGCACTAGGCCGCCTAGCCGGCCAGTCGCCTAAACCACCGATTATGATGATACGCTAGGCGGTCGGCCAGACCCTAGTGTCTAGGCGGGACTTTTGCAACACTGCTAGGAATAGGGCTTGACCAATAATAGAATGTTAAATTGCAAGATTAATTTGTATTGTATGATTACTAGTATTGAGAATTGTACATGTTTGAGTGGGTTCATTTGTATTGGGGGGTTGGGGTTTGTCTCTTCAGAGGTATTGTATTAGATATCCTAAGTATATTTTGCTGGTCTCTTTCATGTTGCATGCGGAGTACTATTGTGATATTTTACCTAAAATTCAACATCCTCCATCTTCTGATACTATACCCTGAAGAGTAAAGATTCACCACCCTGCACTCTGCACTCTCTTCAAAACTCTATAAATACCTCACCAACTCCAACAAACACATACAACCTAGCTAGCCCCAATACATACAAACATAGTACAATTATTATTCCCTTAAAATACTCAATATTATCCCAATTCAATGGCTGGAGTTAAGGTAATGGTTGCAGCTTGTTTTCTCCTTTTGGCATTGCTTTTCTCGTTTGGGTTCCAACCGTCTGAGGAAAGGCCATTGAATTTAGCAGACAACAACAATAATGGTTTTAGCAGTCTAAAGACTGCAGAAACCCACCCGCCGCCATCTCGCCGCAACCAAAAAGCTGGTGCCAACAATGGCGGCGCCTCGGCGGCGGACGCTGATGCCGATATCAATGACACCACCCCCGGGCACAGCCCCGGCGTTGGTCACTCCGGTGGCCCTTCCAGCGCCGTTGGTCCTAAAGCTTGATCTCTCATTCATTCCTTAGCTAGCTTCTGCAATTGTACGTACCAGCAACCTAGTATATATAACTCCCAGGTTCGAGGTGGCTGCTCTGATCCCAAGAGACCAGAGTCCAGGGAACATCTCCATTATCTGGATTATTATTATTGTCTATGCATATGTATATTTATTTCATGAATTTATGTACAATGTATATGCATACATGTATGTATCTTTAGGTCATCATCAGTCTGCAAGTTGATTGTCCTGTCGTGATTATATTATAAGTCTATGTTTATGAAACGGTGCGTCCTTTGTACTTTTATGTATCCATTATAAGTATATAAAAAAAAAAAATTAGTTGACTGTTATTGGTCCACGCTCTGGCAGATCAGAGCAGAATCGGGTACTCAGCAGAATCAGCAGTTTTTTTTTTTTTTGTTTTTTTTTTTTTTCAAACAGAAAACAAAGTTTCATTATTACTAATCCAACCAGAGAACGTTAGAAAGAAAATCAGGAGGGTATACACCCGAAATCCTGACTCCAGAACAAAAACATAGATAATCTAATTGTTTAATAAATTTGATGGTTAAAATCTTTAATCAATTCCTTAATATCTTGTAACAACTAGTAAAATGAAGATTCTCCCTGATTTCCATTGAGACCTTAGACAACTTGTAAGCAATTAGTTTCAATTTGGATATAATCAACACATTTTCCTTTTGCCCAACTCAAAGCTTCCATAATAGCCACGGGTTCAATCCGCCTCTTTAAGACAGTATACTACCTCTTTCTAAAGAGTACTTCTAGTAGCGATAAAGTCACCTTTGTCACCTCTGAGAACATAACCAAACCTCTTTCTTCCTTCTTCCTTGCATTGTACACTGCTGTGATCACTGTTCATTTTTATCGAAATGAATGTCCTTGAAAATGCCATGAGTACTAATTGAGGCCGGGTGTGATTGGTTCGCACATAGGAATCGAAATCGGAATGGGTATCAAATACTTGGTAATGGTAATGGGTTTTGGTGAAAGTATTTAACATGTTTGGTAGTAGGGTGGAATGAGAATGGTTACTAATAGTAGTGCTTGAAAATGAATAAGGGAATTAAACCCTTATTGTATTTGGATATGGGTTTTTCAATTGATAGGGTATTCGAAACTCATAGTAGTGTTCTAAAAAACCTATCAACCAAACAACAACAATCACTTTCATACCCATTCCTATGGGCAAAACCCACCAACCAAACACCACCCTGAGACATATCTCACAATTAACTTCTTCTATCAAATCAGTAAAGGAGAGCGACAAAAACTCTAAGAAATGATGTGCAAATGTGCAATCCTTCAAAACAAATAATTTATTCAAACATCTAACTTCATAAACCATACATTTTAGTTAATTAATGAAGTGGCATGAGGAATAGTAGTTCGGCAAAAAAAAAATAGTGAATTAGGAATATTGTTCTTTCGGCACAGTTAGTAATCCAGATTAAAATCGGACTACATTTGTAAAGTTTGACTAAGACATTATAATTATATTAGTAATCTACTTATCAATTTTTCCAAATTGTTATATTATTTGTATTATCATTTTCAATGAATGCATTAAGGTAGTACACCAATCCTAATTTACAGTATATATTATCACTTTTATGTGATAGGCGTTTTCATATATATTAAACAATTAAATAAGATTCTAATATAAATTTATTTACATACTCGCAAAACTTGAAAATAAAACTTTATTTTTTGAAAGGAATCATCATGGTATATATTAGAGATGAGCTGAAATAGAGTCAGGAGGGACAAAGTGCCAATACATAGCAGAAGTTTGATCAAAAGCAGTAAAAGCTAAAGTGTGAGCTAAAATATTATCTGATCTAGGAATAAATTTAACTGAACAGAAATCGAAAGATGACATAGAAGATCTGCAACCATCAATAGCATAGCCAATATACGAACGAACCGGTGTAGCCGTGGAAGATAGATAACACTGAAGCGTTTGACAATCTGTGTATAAGTCTATAGACCGTTCTCCACGATTCCTTAGCCATGACAAGGCCTCTTTGCACGCAAATGCCTCGGCAATCAGTGGAGAGAAACAATTTGGAAGCGTAGTACTGTAGGCCGGAATATATCCATCCCTTCCATCGAGAAGAACCGCCCCCATTGTGGCCATGTTGGACGCATGATGATACCCGGCGTCTACACGACAGAGTCTCGGCAGTTGGGCAGTATCGGTCGCGGCAGCAGGGGGTGGTTCGGGAGGCATAGCAGCAACAGCGATGTTGGATGCCACGGCGTTCGCGGTAGGTAGCAAAGAGACGACAGCCAGGTGTATCATGCACCAAGCATGCATGGTGGTCGAAGCGGTGGCTAGAAGTTTCCTCGGCATCGGAAGATAAGCATCCCAAACCGCACCATTCCTTGCTCTCCAGATATATATGATAAAGAATTGCAGTTGCGTACATAACTCCATTAGTGTCTAGAATATTCAAGACTTCACTAAACCAATCATGAAAAACATTTGTTACAATATTGGGGATTGGAAGGTTGGATTGAGTCCAAATGGAACTTGCATAGTCACACAAAACCAATGACAAATAAGTGCATAGTGTCTTCATGAAGAATTTCACACATGGCACAAGCAAGATTAACCTCTACCTTGGTTATAAGCAAATTTTTGTAGTGGGAATGATATCACTTATAACTCTCTGATCCATAGGAATGTTTTCTATTTGGAAATTTTAAAACTTTATTTAAACAAACTCGGTTATAAGTTCACAATCTCATCATCTCTCATTTAGTAAGGCCGTCTAAGAAAAATATATCTATATTTAATTATTTATAGATGAGAATAAACTAATAAAGATAATTACTTATTATATTAAAGAGTAACATTTTGGCTCCTCAATTATTCTCCAACTGTCAATATAGCCCCTAATTTTTAATTTTATTCAATTTGATCATTGAATTGTTTGAAATTTCGTCAGTTAAACCTTTTAAGTGACTAAAATGGTAATTTTCACATTTTTAAAATTTCGTCAATTTAGTCACCAAAAAGGTTTAATTGACAAAATTTTAAACAATTCGATGATCAAATTAGTTGAAATTGAAAATTATGAACTATATTGACAATTGGGAAATACTCTGTAATTGAAGACCAAAATGTTGATTTCTCTTATATTGACTCTTTGTGCTTTAGTAGATTAAGAAAGTAGCTATGAACAGATACTACATTGTAACAGAGCCCCGGTAGTACTACAAAAATAGTGTTTTTTTTTAATGGGTAATTTGTTATTTTAAAAAATTTTGTTCTTGATTTGCTGGGGGTAGTGTTGTAGTCAGTTAAAGACAATGGGCTTTATATGAGTCTGACACATTTTGAAGTTCACAGGCCTACCAAAATGGAAACAATCTATCTCCCAAAATATAATCTGGGCCAACTGCCAACAACAGTCTATGTATACCAATCCTGGTATGTATGTATGTACTGATTGATAGAGTTTCCATTTCCTAAATAGGTTGAATTGATGCATGTCAATGGCCTCACCATTTCAGAATATAGCATAATCAATTGACTTCTACCACTCTCAAATCTTACTCCTAAATTTTATTCATTAATTTGACAGACACTGATAAAAATACTTTTTTCACGAAATTTATTCCTTAATTTGACAGATACTGATAAAAGTGCTTTTTTTCACGTGAGTTCCAATATAAATGTCTACATCAAAATTTTGAATGTGATCGAGGATAGAAAATAAGACTATAAGAATAAATATAGTATTTTCCTAATCAATTTTAGAAAGGTTAACATTCTATGGAATATTACAGTTAATACTACCTTTATTTATTTATTTATTTATTTTTTACTCTTGCTTAGATGGTCTACTCTGAATTATACCAAAATATCATTTTATATAACTTATTTTTTCCTAAAAAAAAAAAAAAAAAAAAAAAGGAAAACTGGGAGTGATATATATATGAGTGTTTTGTTGGCTCAGATTATAGGGGAAAGCAAACTCAACCCAACCCAATCTCCCAAAATTGGCGGCCGACCAGAGACTACGTATGCATCCACATCGTACCGATATCCTACGGCAACCACAGTCTAATCCAACGGTTCTAAATCTCACACGTCATTGCAGGGCTTCCCATGAATTCGTCATCCTCCTCTCAAATATAAATCATACTCTCAACCTCCATCCTCATCTCCCTTTCTTTCTCTCTCTAACTATTTCAGATTTCCTTTTATATACTATATATACTATATATATATATCTATATTTATATATTACATATAATAAAATATATATAAAAATACGTATATTTCTTCTAGCTTTTTAGGGTTTCAGTAGCCTAGTTAGAGAGAGAAGTAGAGAAGAAGAGTGTTTGTACGTTTGAGGAGATGCAAACGAATAACAGTTCTGAATCCGGCGAGAATAAGCAACCGGAATCACAGCCGGAGACACAGAAGCAACAACAACAACAGGCGGTGACGGGTTCCGGGACGACGTTAGTGCCGCCGCCGGTGGCGGCGTCGTCGCCGCAGCCGTGGGTGCCGATGCAGTACCCCGCGGCTGCGATGGTAATGCAGCACCAAATGATTCCGGCGCCGCCTTATACGCCTCATTACATGTCGTACCACCACCATCCCCACCTTCTTCTCCACCACCCTCCGCCGCCGCAGCCTCTGCCTCCTCAGCAGCCGCAACAGCAACAAGGGGGATCCAATGCTGAGAACCGCACGATCTGGGTCGGTGACCTTCACAATTGGATGGATGAAGATTATCTCCGCAGCTGCTTTTCTACCACAGGAGAGGTCTATAGCTTCATACTTCTTTTTCACTATATACTGATTAATATATGTGTTTTTGTGATTCGTTAATGTATTTGTCGGATGGGTTGTTCTGCACATTAATTATTGATGTTAGATATGAATCTAGGATGTTTCTTCCAACTAACAATTAATCTAAAGATTCCAAAGTTTTAACTAATTTTTATCTGGTATTCAACGGAATATAGTATCTATTGTCTTGCCCACAAAAGCAAAATTTATTGCCCCAGGCCTCCACATCCCGACTTGACAGAATTGTAGATAAGATTAAGCGGCCCATTAGGTGAGGGGACTATTATCTACAAGGTTTTGCGAGTCAAGAAGGTGAAACTTCTACACTGTGACTGTTGGAGCTCGGGACTCGGGACTCCATCCCTTCCCACAATTTGTTACCCTGGAACTAACTGAGCTACGGGGTGGAATATAGTATCTTTGATTAGGGTGAAACGAAACCAATAAAGTTAACGATTTTTTGAATTTATTATCAGTGAGCTAAAAAGATTCTGTCTGGTCATGCGAAGGTGGCATTCAATGTGTGTGTTATATTGTATCTGAAATGCCATAGATCAGATGAAATTGAATTCAAGTTGTTGATTTTAGTTTTGTTAATAAGTGATGGTTGAAATTTTTGATGTTTTTTATTATGGACAACCTTGTGCTGTTGCTAAAGTTGGAAATAATTGCACAGGTTGCCTCGATTAAGGTGATTCGAAACAAGCAGACTGGTTTCTCGGAGGGATATGGTTTTGTGGAATTTTTTTCACACGCTGCTGCAGATAAAGTTTTGCATTCATATTCTTGCGGTGTTCCAATGCCTAATACTGAACAACCTTTCCGTTTGAATTGGGCTACTTTTAGCATGGGGGAAAAGCGTTCGAATAATGCTTCTGATCTTTCTATCTTTGTAGGAGATTTAGCTGCAGATGTTACTGACACCTTATTGCTTGATACATTTGTTAGTAAATATCCCTCTGTTAAAGCTGCTAAAGTGGTCATTGATGCTAACACTGGACGCTCCAAAGGTTATGGCTTTGTGAGGTTTGGCGATGATAATGAGAGGTCTCAGGCCTTGACTGAAATGAATGGCGTTTATTGTTCAAGCCGGCCTATGCGAATTGGTGCAGCCACTCCCAGGAAATCATCGGGATATCAACAGCAATTTGCTGCACAAGGTAATTCTTAACGCCATTCAATTCATTCAAAATTTTAAATGGCTTCAATTCCAACCTCCCATGTTTTTCTTATAGTTTATCTCCGAGGTGGTTCTCAATCTAATAGTGCTAATTAGATGTGTTATTACGACGAAATAATACTCCATCCTACTCTGCTTTGGGTATTAGTTTCTAACAATGAGCCAGGAAATTGAGATCCATGGAATGGAATGTGAAGTTGGACTAGCTGAAACTTAATTCAGATTTATGTTATTTGTACTAGAATGTTGTAGAATGTTGATGTTCTGGTTGTGGTAGTTAACTCGAAATCTTTGTGGAACCTTAATGCTAGCTTTTCTGAAACTGGCTGTTGTGGTAGGTGGATATTCAAATGGTTCTCCAGCACAAGGGTCACAATCTGATGGCGATTCTTCTAATACCACGGTTTGTTGCCTAGATTGTTTTTTTTTTTTTGGGTGATTTTGTATTCTTTTTCTCTGGTTTTTTTTTCCCATTTTGCTAATATGTTACAATCATAGATTTTTGTTGGAGGTCTCGACCCAAATGTTAGTGACGAAGACCTTAGGCAGCCTTTCTTACAATATGGTGAAGTAGTTTCTGTTAAAATTCCTGTTGGGAAAGGATGTGGATTTGTGCAATTTGCTAAGAGGTGTTCTGTCTTACCACTTTTGATTTGCTGAAACGTTAAAATGGCATGTCGGTAATGAACCATGAATCTGATTTTTATTGGCAGAAATGACGCAGAGGAAGCACTGCAGAAGTTGAAAGGTCTTGTGATCGGGAAACAGACAGTTCGCCTTTCTTGGGGACGAAATCCGGCTAATAAAGAGGCAATGTGTCTTCACCTTTCTCCCCTTCAATTGTGTTAATGTCTTAGGAAAACTCGAATGTCTGAGGATGTTTAGTTCCACCCATCATATGCTTTCTTTCATTATAGTTTACCTTTGCATTCTCCATATATCTATTCTGCATGCATAAGATATAGTTTTGCAAAAAGCACTAGTGGATGGATGCAGATTAAATCACGGTAATTCAGTGGCTCAACAAACAGGGCCAAATGCTGATCTGCTCACTTTGGGCATAATCCCCACTGAGCCTGTACGGGCAATAATTGTTGTTTCTGAAAAGGGGAGTGGCGGTTAAGCAGACGCAGGATGAAAGGACAGTTTTTTCTTAAACTTTTGTTGTGTTGTTGCAGACAAGAGGTGAGTTCATGAACCAGTGGACAGGGGCATACTATGGAGGACACTTCTACAATGGCTATGGTTATGCTTTCCCATCTCCTCATGACCCTGCAAGCATGTACTCGGCCGCAGCTGCGACGCCCTACGGAGCTTATCCGATGTACGGGAGCCACCGGCAACAAGTAAGCTGAAGGTCTGTCTGTCTGTCCGGGCGAGAAGCTAGCATGCAGTTGAAAGGGCAAATTGAAAATAGCTGTATGTTCAGCTTTGATTCAGAAGATTTGGGCGTAATATAGAATCTAGGTATCCCTCCCCCAACAAAGGAGTGGGAATGATTTTTGACTTAAAAAGAAATAGATTTTTATCTAGGAATTCTACTCAGACATTTTGATTAGAGTTTGGACACGGACATGAAACTTCTTCATTTGGAATAAATGCTCTTACTCCAATATCTTGTTCAGCATCTGCATTTCTCGTTTTTCTTTATGTGTTAATGTCAAGGATTTGACCCATTACTCTGGCCCAATCTTAGATTATAACATGGTATCATATCAGAATGATATAAGAATACATGTTGATGGAATCTTATCCTACAAAGAGGCTGCAGGGGGCAGTTTCCCCTGAAGAAATGATGAAATCATAGTTAGTGAACGTTCTGGTTGGTAGCTAGGAACTGCATGTCCAGCTCCCCTAATTGTAACAAATTTCAGCCCCTTGTACCCTTCCACATATCCACCCACCTCCTGCCAATTGTACATCATTAAAAACAAATTTTGAGAAGAAAATTGTTACAACATTAGTCCTGTTTGTTTTCTAAGTAAGATATTGTTGTGGATTTACCTTGCCACCATTATAATACCATGCACGCCAAGAATTCTCCAAGGGAAGTTTCATGGTGTTTATTGCATACCTCGATGCTGTTACTGGAACTCGCGCATCTATATCCCCACTGCAGTTTTTTATATTACTGGCAAAGTTAATGAAATTGAGCATGAAGAAGAACTAATAGACAGATTACTTGTCCTTTGATTTGATGAATTTACCTGTAAATCCATACATTTATCTGATTTTCAATGAGCATCTTGATTACGGGCAGGACAGTTCTTGGCATGTCTTGCCAGTTCCCCCATCCAATTTTGTTGCTGCATTCGCATATTTTTCAATCAAAGTGTTACAGTTTTTCTCTTTTCGATTTGAATGTGAGAATTATTATGATACAGAATGGATCGGAGTACCTGCAAATGAACCAAGTGGTGTTGACGGCATGGAGAGCCTTCTGCACCTCCTCACGGTTGAGGTAAGATTCGACATAGCTGTCTGAACAAGGATCAAATTCCTTTATCCCAATTTAACAGATGAAATTTAGTTAAGTTCAAGTTAGCTTGATAATGTACTACAAAGTGGGACAAATTAAAGTTAAGATTCTATGTTGTAGAAGAATGAACACTCATCACCGTATCAGATGACTTAGGCTTTGCCGCCTTTTCATTGCAGAGTGGAGCATAAATGTTATATATGTCTATATATCCTCTCTCATTATCTCCTTGAGCTGTGTATCCCACGCATGTGTCTGAGTAGTTTCCGTTAAGGAAATCACAGTACTTGTTTATTGCTGCATGAGTTTCATCCGAGATCAATGCATGGGACCAAAAATAGTCATACATGGCTTGAATGTTTATGTCATGATGTACCAAAGCATTCCCAATCTTCAAAACACAAAACACAAAACACATTAATATGGGTAGAATTAGATTTCATACTTGTGTAGTTTGGAAAGCATAATTAGTAATTTAACTAACTTACTGCGATATTTTTGAGGTTGATGAGTGATTGATTAGAAATCTTGTTGTGGGCTAGAATAGTGTATGCTAGTTGAGGCACATAATGACCAGCATAGCTTTCTCCAGCTATGTAAAAATCCCGAGTTTTGTACTGAGGGAATCGTTCGAGCCAGTTTATTAGAAAAGTATAAGAATCCTCGGCTGTTCTCTTGTCACCGGGGGTGTCATAGTCAGAACTAGAGTTTGAATAGGAAAATCCTACACCGGCTGGCGATTCCAGAAAAAGCACGTTTGCCACTGTTGATCGAATAGCAACCTTAAAAGCTTCAGACTTAACCTCATGGATGGTTCATCTTTGCATATGAAACTTTTTTTTTTTTTTAATAAAAAAATTAGCTGTTTACCTTTGTTCCATGCATATTCGTTCACGTACAATGATTTTCCATCGCTATTCACTCTGAAAGGTCCAAGTTCCTCCATAGCTCCATAGCCAAAAGATGAACATCCTGGTCCTGGCAAAGAACAAGTATTACTATTTGCTGCATTATCTATTGTATCATTTTACTTTTGTTATGTTACCTCCATTGAGCCATAAGAGTAGAGGTTTGGTGGAAGAATCGCGAGGAGATTCAACAAAGTAGTAAAACAAAGCTCTTCCCGTCTTAGGTTCTACTGTCACATAGCCTGCGTATTGATTAAAGTTGACTCCAGGAGGCTGCATTGGCAAGGCATCAATCTTGTCAGCCTCCATTAGCCCTTGTTGAGGTCCAATATATACTGGAGAAGTAACATCTTCTAGCTTAGACCACATCTCTGAATCGAGATTATGGTTTTCAGTTATTCGAGACTCGAGCAGCTTGCTAAGGTATTCTACCTGACTAGCATCACAGAATGTAACGAGAAAAACTTTTTTGTGAGAGAGAAGTAATAGCAACCATGAAAGCCTCATCATGATATTCATCTTGGCTTTACTCTTATCTAGTATAGCATTCTAAGCTCATCTTTTATACTATCATGAATGAGAAATTAGAAGGGTGGGGGGGATGATGATGATGTAGTGGATAAGTTCTTCTTGCTAGATTATTGATTGTGTATTAACCTTTCCAAATATATGTTGACAAGAACCATAAATAATGGTTTTAAAAAACAAGAACCATTTATAGTGCCAAAGTAAAAGGTTAGACAGGAAGACAAAAGTGGAGGAGATGAGTAAGGCAAACACTACATCTGAAGTGATGTCATGTTTGACCCTCCAATCAGCATCCTTAGGAATGAGCACTACCAGAAACATAATATATATGTTTCAATAATTGATTAATTGACATGAAAAAGAGAGTTATTATTCCTCCTCCATTCTGCCAAGATTCCATGCCAATGCTCCTAATTTTCAACTATGCTTGTTTGGTATTGTCTCATTTCCAATCCTACTATACTAGACCATTTGTTGCTTAGTGTTACCTCGTAGATAACTAAGATTCAAACTCAAATTAGTGTTCAACTAAAAGTCTAAACTGATAGTTGTACTGTACTTTATGTGTTTATATATTATATGCTCAACATGTCGATTTGAATTATTCAACTGAAGGCCATTCATTCCATTAACATTGGTAAACTCAGAATTGTTACAACAATCTTGATTTATTTATAATAATAGGCTGATTTCGTTGTACTTCCTGTGCACTTAATTTGCTGTTTCTTGCAATATATATAATCCTCTGACCATGGAGTTTATATTGTTTTAGTCCGATGTTTTGTTCTTCTGTTGTTGTCCTGAGAGGATCGGAGGAGATTCATGTCGGGTGGTTGCACTGTGTTTAGGTGTCGGGGTGGGAGTTGTCCATTGATGAATGAGGTGAAGAGTACAAGTGCACGAGCTGGCTGGTAACTAGGAACAAAATGCCCAGATCCTCTTACTGTTACTAATGTCAAGTTCTCATACTCCACTGCATATCCACCCACCTGAGTACCAAACAACAACACCGTACCCTTTAGGCTAAAAAACACAATTTTTGTCGGATATGATAGAACAAAAACTGTGGAGTATAATTTCTAAATTTCAGGTCGATTGTTAGTTACCTCTCCTCGGAGATACCATGGGTACCAGGAAGTTTTAACCGATGGCTCGAGTTTCTTTATGGAACGTCTAGTGTCCGACAATGGCATTATACTATCCGTATCTCCACTGCCAATTAAACAAATTAAAATTTTCAATAACCTAATAAGCTAACAGCTATTTACCAAACACTCAATATCGACACAATGTCGCAAGTAAGTGGTAAATACCTATATATCCAGAAACGGATACCACTTTGCATCAATTCTTTCACAATGGGCAATACAGTCGCCGGCATTTTCCAATCGCTATTTAGTCTGTCACTGTTCTCAAGTGGACCCATAAACTAAATAAATAACCAAACAAATCAAGAAAATCACACACAAAAGAAAAGCAAAGTTAATGGCATACTTTCGTTTATTCCATGGATGGGGAGTGGCGGTAATATTTGCATGAAGGGCAGTCTGGACTTGAAGATTGTTGAGGTAGGCATGGATGTAGTCTTCAGTGCAGGGATCAAATCCTGAAATCTGTTCATCAGACAAACCCAATCAACAGAATCTTTGAGGAGTCATCATCGTACTAATTAATTAATTACCTTAGGATTCACGAAATGGAATTTTGCTATATACTCACATGAAACGAGGGAGAGTCAGAATGACATAACGGCGCGTAGATATCATACAAATACACATTCCCCATTTCCCTGCCGGTTTGGTTGTCCACCAAATCCTGGCATTTGTCGGACGCACTGTCGGGACTGGAGAAATCACAAGTCGATAAAATGTCGTTATACAGATCATCAGAAATCAGGCCGTGACTCCAGTAATACTCCATCATCCCTTTCATTCGAGTTTCATAGTCCAAATATGGATTCCCCACCTAATAACCACAAAAAAGTACATGTAATAAGTGTAAGAGATCAGCTATATATATGCGTGTGTTTGGGGGCTTACAAGAATGCCTTTCAGATTGATTCTGGGCAGGTTTGGGAACTGGTTGTTGTGCAGTATGAGACGAGCAAGCTCCGGTATATAGTGGCCGGCGTAGCTTTCTCCGGTGAGGAAGAAATCCCTGGTTTTGTACTCTGGAAATCTCTCCAGCCAGTTTACTAGAAACGCATAGTTATCAAATGCGGTGCTGTTGTCTCCGGTGCGGTCATAGTCGGCCGTCGTGTTCGAGTATGAAAATCCAACCCCAGCCGGACTTTCAAGAAATATTATATTTGCCTCTAATATAAATCAAAAAATAATCATCAAATCATTTTATTTTTATAACTCTGTTCAACTCAAATCAAAAAATTTTCAAACAAATCTTATAGTTACTAAGTTAATAGTTTAACTAACTTAATTGTGATTACCTCTTAAATAATCTTATTTCTACTTAGAAAATGTGGAATTAGTGTCACACTTCAGTTTAGAGTTACACATGAATCATTATTCTGAATCCTATATTTCTTTTCAAAAGTTGGATAAGAAAATCAGTATTTTCTGGTGAATTAATCTACTAAAATTGATTCTAAATATGAGAATTATCTATGTGCTTAATTGAGTATAATTGACAAAATGGCACAATTTCAAGAAATTAAAATATAAATAGTTCAAATTATCACCTGTGTTCCATGCGAATGGATTCCTGTTAAGATTTATACCATCTCTTGCCGGTCTAAATGGCCCCAGTTCCATGAAAGCGCCACCACCAACGGAAGAATAAGCCGGTCCTGGAATAAAACACAAAAACAACTTATATATGTGTCCAAGACTATTAAATTTTTTATTTCTCAGAACTTAAAATTTATTTGAAAATCATGAAAATGACTTTCAGAAAATATTTTCTAGAAAATGAGTCAATTTTTTTTAAAATATTTTAATTTCTCGGGTCTGGTTGCATTTTAAGAAACTGTCTTTGACTCATTTTCTAGAAAATAAGTAGAATTGTATAATTAAAAAAAAAAATTGCAAAAGCTATGTTTTGCCCAAGTATTTTCTCCCCAAATAACAAACAAAATATTTTTAAAAAGTACTAATTTCTGAAGAAAATAGTACAAATCAGACTAGTTTTAGTTGGAAAGCAGTAAAAAGTAGACTGATTTTCATACCACCATTAAGCCACAAAACAAGGGGTTTAGAAGAAGGTTCTTGAGGTGACTCGACAAAGTAATAGAACAAGGCTCGTCCGGCGGCTTCGTCCACCGTAACATGCCCGGCGTATTGGTCGAAATCTGCTCCGGTGGGCTGTCCCGGCAGCCTCTGAATCCGGTTGCTCTCCTTGAGTCCATCTTGACGCCCAGTGTACACCGGAAAGTACGGCGGCTCCGACGAAGAATAGCTGAGTTGTCTTTGATGATGATGATCGGCCGGCGAATCCAAACCTTTAACTCTGCCGCACTGGACAGAAACCACTAGACAGAATAGGAAACAGATGAAGCACAAGGGAAGAGAAATAACGTTCGCCATTATAGTGTCACCTAGCTAGCTCCCGGTGTTATCAGTCACCATTTCTTGAAATTAATGTCAGATGAATTCTCTATTGTTTAAGATAATAACAAATGTGGGGTAAATGAATTGAGAGATAAATCTCCCGCAACAACCCACATAATGTCAGAACTAAAAAAAAGAAAAAGACAGTACAAATCAGACTAGTACAAATAATAATACACATTGAGCTGGCCGCCACTATCAATTTAATTACTTTTGACGCCATAGCAATGGCCATATTTCCGGTAACGGATGTATATATATATTTTTTAATTTTAATTATTATTTAAATATATTTGTTTTTTTTTTTGTTTAAGCAATTAATTTTAATTATTATTTTATTTTACAATTACCTTATAAATTTTATAGTATAGCCAATTTTTTTATTATTTTCTTTCATTTTGTTTTACAATTCACTATTTTTTTATTAAAATTATAAATTTATAAATAAAATAGATAAAGGAATTATTAAAATATAGTGGGTTAAATGTAGGATGACAATGGGTCGGGTGTGGGTCAGGAAGGGCTACATGCTTACATCCATCACCCGACCCACCTTATATTTTCTCCCCCACCCCCATCTCCAACCTGCATCGGGTGAACTTTTTCAGAACCCACTCCCACCCCCACCAGGTGCGAGTACCCACTACGAGTATCCACTACTTATCATCTTATTATGTTTGTCAAAAAATAATATTTAAATTATTTACACATAATAAAAGAATAAAATCCACTAGTGATACTAAAACATAAATAATGGAAATATTTAAATATAATAACTAAATTGTTAATTTTTAAAAATAAACTTAGTAGTTTTGATATAAAAAATATTAAAAAGATACACGAAGTTATATAAACTTTTATAAATAACTACATACTAATTCTTATTTTAATATTATATATATATATATATATATATATATATATATATATATATATATATATATATATATATATATATATATATATATATATATATATATATATATATACACACATGGTGGGTCAGGTGGGGTTCTAGGCGGGTCTTGTACATAGAACCCGAATCCAACCCAACCCACCACGGGTTTGCTTTTTTAAGACCCACCCCGACCCATCACCCAAAAAAACTCAATCCATGCGGGGTGGATTCGGGTGGATGTCCACGGGTCGAATTGAAATTGTCATCCCTAGTTAAATGACGAGTCCATAAAAAATTGAGAAATAACTTAAAACTGATGTGGAGAAGAGTGTTTTGTGATTGAGTGAGATAGTGGAGAATGAAGTGGATGCTGAGACCCACAAATAACTGAGAAATAACCCTAATTGATAAGGATGCTAGGATAGTGATTCTTTGCTTGACTTGATGTCACCAGGGCCGGATTTTAGGCTGTGCAAGCTGGGCTACCGCACAGGGCCCCTAATTTTAGAGGGGCCCCAAAATTTAGAGGTTCAATATTTAATTTTTACCTAGCTAGTTTAAAAATAAAAATTAAAAAGTTTTCAATTAAACTTTAAAGGTTTTATGAAGAGATGGTAAGAATGTGTATTTATTGTAATTTAACTTGGAGGTCAAAGGTTTGAAACTTGCATGTATTAGTTTTAAAAATTATGATTTTGGTAGGGCCACATTTATTTACTAGAACAGGGCCACCAAAACTTAAAATACGGCCCTGGATGTCACGATCAAGAAAAAAGGTATATAAAATGTAAATTGGATCTCTTGTGGGTGGATGAATATTACTTTAGAGGTATAGATTTGTGGATTTATGATTAGTCCACAGAAATTGTGATCAATATTATAATTAAAAATAAATAAAAATTTAACGTTGTCCAATATGTTGCCAAGCTAGTGTGGTAAGCAATGTGGTGGTTGGGAGTTGGTATATGTGTAACTTTTCGTGCGGAAACATGCATATACAATTGGCTCCGGTGTCGTTTTACGTTTTGTAAGAGTATAAATACGAATATTATTTAAATGTATTGTAAACCATTAATACTCATTCTTATAATATATATAATTGATGGAAAATATACCTCAGGTATGTCGCCGCCTGCCTGCTCGTTATGTATTTATTCCTTATATCATAGGGAGTGATTCCCGAGTCTCGAGCTATAGACTGCCCGACCTGTTCGGTATGAATTCCTTGTAGTGAAGCTAAGAACGTGGAGTGTTATACAACATAGCTTTTCCGATCTGGGGCCTGGGTGCCAGTGATTGCCTTTTAATTTATATAAAGCACGTGGACCAATTCACACAGCCAACAAGTGCATGCGAAACACATGACAATTGCATGCCGAGCTCGCGGCATGTACTCCTTCCTGACCCTATAAATAGGGCGTTTATTGTTTGAAGGGAGACTACTTTTGGCATTTTTACCTAACCCCTATTAGCTCGGCAGAAATGACGCAGAGGAAGCACTGCAGAAGTTGAAAGGTCTTGTGATCGGGAAACAGACAGTTCGCCTTTCTTGGGGACGAAATCCGGCTAATAAAGAGGCAATAATGTGTCTTCACCTTTCTCCCCTTCAATTGTGTTAATGTCTTAGGAAAACTCGAATGTCTGAGGATGTTTAGTTCTACCCATCATATGCTTTCTTTCATTATAGTTTACCTTTGCATTCTCCACATATATATCTATTCTGCATGCATAAGATATAGTTTTGCAAAAAGCACTAGTGGTTCAGCTTTGATTCAGAAGATTTGGGCGTAATATAGAATCTAGGTATCCCTCCCCCAACAAAGGAGTGGGAATGATTTTTGACTTAAAAAGAAATAGATTTTTATCTAGGAATTCTATTCAGACATTTTGATTAGAGTTTGGACACAGACATGAAACTTCTTCATTTGGAATAAATGCTCTTACTCCAATATCTTGTTCTGCATTTGCATTTCTCTTTTTTCTTTATATGTGTTAAGGTCAAGGATTTGACCCATTATAGCCTAATTGAGTGACTCTGGCCCAATCTTAGATTATGCCGTAGCCGCCACCCCGCACGTCCATGCACGCTGCAGCAGCCACCGCGCCTTGTGTGCGGCTATCCTCCATGCATGCAGGCTGGCCTGCGAGCCATCCTTTTACTCTTGGGCACCCCTTGGGCATATGGGCCAGGCCTAATCCGATATATTCCATGATATATATATATATATATATATATATATATATATATATATATATATATATATATATATATATATATATATATATATATATGATTGATAATTAACATTATATTAGATAATATAATCCAGAGTAAATGTATGTATGTATCATCATTAATTTATATTACTAGTTTAAATTTTTAAGAGAATTGTTTTTATTTTTTATTTTATTTATGAAAAAGTTGACGTCGTTATCCACATTGTGCAGTTTGAGTGAAACTTAATTACTTTGTAACCAGATAAAGGATCACGTGGAGGTAAACCCATTTGCTGTTCCATGACTGATCAACTCGATCAAATTAAAAAGGTCAGTAAATAGCTTCAATGTAGAGTCAAACTTAAAATCTTATATGGTTACCAAGTCAACTGCTGATCAACTTGACTACCAGCTTCCCCGTGAATTGATAACTTGATCAATATCATCATTACTAGTCTAAGTATATATATATATATATATATATATATATATATATATATATATATATATATATATATATATATAATTTAAATTATGCAATTTAAAATGTGAAAAAAATGTTACTTATAATTTTGTTTCAATCCAGTTTATTTTATACTTCTGTGTAAAAAGAAGAGTGAAGTACATTTTGGGATAAAGGGAGTACAATTAATTAGCTAAGCTAGTTTTTAGTGTTCTGCATGTGGGGGAAGCGTTCCATTGATGAAGGAAGAGAAGAGCACAAGTGCCCGAGCTGGCTGATAACTGGGAACAAAATGCCCTGCTCCTCGTACTGTCACCAACGTTATGTTCTCATATTCCTCTACATATCCACCAACCTGCAGTCATCATCGTGTTAGATCATTGAATTGAAACGTCAAACTGATAGTATGTACGTGAATTTTATATATTATATGGTTAACAAATAATATCCTAATTCTTATTTGAGACATTGATTAATTACCTCGTATCTTGAAAGATACCAAGGGTACCAAGGAGTTTTAACAATTACCCCAAGTTTGTATAAGGCATATCGTGTGTCTGTTATTGGCACTACACTGTCTGTATCTCCACTGTACATCACATTAGAGTTAAATGAACAATTAAATGTTGCTGGTCTAGATTGTTTATAATTAACAAACTCAAATCAAGAAGGCAAATATGTTGAAGTTTGATTCCGTGCATGCATGGATGGTTTAATTAGTAATTACCTGTACAGCCAGATACGCATACCAGTTCCCATCAACTCTGTTATGACCGGTAAAACAGTTGGTGGCACTTTCCAGCCGGCACCAAGTGTGAAGCTGACAAAAATAACAGGAAAATCATAGTAACTAATATACGGGGAAACTGTATGTATATATGGGAATTAAAGAAACCTTTCGAGTAAATTAAAAGCCTACTTGCACTTCCTCCATGGATGAGCACTGGCAGTTATGTTTGCATGAAGAGCAGCCTGAACCTGAAGAGTGTTTAAGTAGGTGTACGTATAATCTTCAGTGCAGGGATCATATCCAGAGATCTGTCCAAATTAAATCACAAAAAACAATTCAATTCATAATCTCTTCCTTAATATTACTATACGAATGATTCTTGTTTTTGATACTGACAGAATACGAGGGCGTGCCAGAACCGCATAACGGCGCGTAGATGTCGTACGGATAAATGTTTCCAGATTCACCATTCCTTCGACCGACAATTAAATCAAAGCATTTTTCTGACGTAGCACTGGGAGTAGAGAAATTGCAGGTGGATAAGATGTTCTTATATAGTTCATCGGAAATCAAAGCATGACTCCAAAAGTAGTCCGCTATTCCCTGCAAATTTGCTTCATAGTCCACATATGCATTTCCAATCTGAGGATTATATTATATTGCAGCAACATATATATCAGTAACAGTACTCATAATTAATTTTTATAAATTTTCAGAGTGGTCAATTTAGGTCATAAAACTATATACT